GCATTTACGCTAATCTAGTATGATTCAGGGTTACTTTTTTTTTTAACCTGCCATGGCCAGATTATCTAAAGATGTGTGTATTGTGTGTACAATCTATAGAAAGAGAAATGTACATCAGGTCCGATCATCCGATTTTCACGTTTCGGTTTTTTGGACTCGGTTCATGAACGTATTTTGGTTTGGCTCCTGGGAATGTGCAAAAAAATGACTCCCGGGACTGTCTACAGGGAACACTCGCACATTCGCGGTGTATCAGGACAGCGCGACGGGTCGTCATTAGCGCAGTAACAGTTGCATAAACGGACGAAACCATTTCAAAGAAATGGGGATGTTTCGAAAATAAGCATTTACTCCAATATCAAAACAGCTACGGTAAAAATAAAAAGACGTGCATCATCCCGGACATAATGCAACACCACATGCGAATTACACAGAAATGCGACGTACGGAAGAATGCGTTTTGGCTGCGAACATCTTCCAAAAAACTTGGCATCTCTTAACCATGGGCAAAAACATCTGGAACCACTTATAAAAACCACCCCGTATCTGCATGAACTTTTTTGAACCCCACTGCTATTCCAAACAACGCGTTTTTCTGGACCATTCCAATTCGCCTCGTAATTGTAGGGGTGCGTCTGCGATATTACATTGACCGCGAAAGCAGCAACGGCAAAAATACACATTCGTGCATCAACACGGGCATGCCCGCAGACGGCGTATAAAATTGCGTGCCGATTACACAAAGAGAACCCAGTGTTTTGACTGCGAACATGAAAAATCAGCCGATTACAACACTCCGTCCGGAGGTCCTGACCTCCTTCACGGAGTAACAAATACACTGAGATAGTACCAATGAAAACTGGATCTTTTATGTCCTTGAAGTCCACTATAGCAGTTTAAATGAAAGAAATGGATTTTTGTTAAAATTATATTGTAATTTAGGTAACCAGCAATGAGTGCCTCAGTTGCCCAGTTCTAAACAGATGGAAAGCGGCCATCATGGTCTCCTGTTATTGTTAGGTTTTCTAATTGTCCTGTTGAGGTGCCCTTCTCAACCACCCTTCTAAACAAGTCTAAAGGAGTCTTGTGTCATACATATGTACATTTAACCTCCCCATGGGCCTTTGTATTTTCCTTTTTATTCAGCAATCTTACAACCAATGAAATGTTATAACATCCAAAATCTAAAGATGTTATACTAGTACACAGATTTCGAGTCAGTGTTGTTTGCTTTCTGTCACTTCAAAATGTTTTTGAAAAGGTCTAGTTTACTTTGAGTAAATACGGAATGCCAGCTACTAGTCTTTTAGCAATGTTTCTGACTGTTTATTTGACTGATGCCCATGACCTTTGTGTAAGACGAACTTTGTGAACACAATGCAGCAGCATTGAATAAGCATCCTTTACAAAGAACGTACGTCCATGTGTCCTGTATCACATGCACTATGCAAACACAACAGGTAGAGCCAGTACCTGACAATACTCACTGCAACTATTTGAGGAACACTGCTGCCATTGTTACATGTTTACTTGTATAACTTACTCTGGTACTAGACCTAATACTTATGTCCTAATTCTGCATCAAACTCAGACAGACTTAAGAGTCTTGCAAGTGGACACAGGCTTCAATGTCAAAAGGCCTCGCCTCAGTCGATGTTGATTTTGCACTTGGACAAAAGTAGCGTGTACTGTAAGTCTTGAAATTTCATGTGCATTTAAAATAGCGTAGGGGGTCCAAATCACAGGGCCCCTATGCTCAAAAGGTCTGGTAAGAACACTGTATTTGTGGTGAGCTCATAACTAGGCTGAGATTGTGTGTTCCTCCTACTTCAAAATAAAACTGCCACAAAAGTAAATGATCTTACAGTATATGGGTGTTCAAGTGTTAAAGCCTTACAGGTACCTCACTCTTGGTGTTACTGTTAGTGTGGCAGACTAATGGAATATTTGAGACAAACTAAACACAGAGTTTCGATGTGGTCTAAAGCAGTAGTACAGAAGCTTTTCTATATGCCTCCAGTGGTATTCTTCTCTTTCCTCTCAGATATCCACATGCGAAACACAATCTTCCATTCAGTTGTGGCACATCAGTCTGAATGACTGGTAGGAAAACACAGAAAAAGCACTGATATATTTGAGTAACGCAATTGGCTTTGATGTTGTGTTGTCTCGTGGCTGACAACTTGACATATACTCTAAGACTGTGAGTGTGGTCAGTGCTAAAGTTGCCCGTGGTGACAGGCCGAGAAGTCATATTGCCCTGTGGGTCAAATTAAGGTGAAATACTGGATACCCTCATTTGGTCCAGTTCCTTAAGAAAGGAAAAGAAAACATCCGACACAAGACCTGCTAGTTTTCTGAAGGCCTGCAGCCTTACTTGAGTACACAGTGCCTTAGAAGTTAGATTATATATCCCTGCTGTTGTTTGTCTCCACACATCTTGCCTTCAGAAGTGAAGAGCTGTTGGAAAAATTTGATACGAGCGTAAACATTTCAGGGTCCTGCCCGCCCACACCGAGTGTCTTGTTGTCCATCATGCATTACTGACGTAGCGTGGTGCCACCAGCAGTGTGTGGGCGCAAATGTACAAGTTAACCATCTCAGTGCTAAAGCGTGTATGGCCTTTTGACAGTTCGCATTGGTTGCAGAGTTAGGCAACAGTGAGAGTGTTAGATATGTACAAGTAAACACAACTCAACACACTTTGGCCCTAATACATACAACTGAAATATTATTTTTTTCATATCTGACAGTCTGTAAATATTAAACATTTGGATTAATAGTTGTCAAAAATAATAAGTGTAGAATATCTGTATATGGAATATTTTTCACCAAACAAAATTCATACAGAACAAGAAAAATATTTTATTAAGTTGTTTCATACTAGTATACTGACACATGAAAAAAATTGCATAATGCAACACTGTCATTCATGAAAAGTTAGCATTTTGCTTTCTGCTATCAAGAGAAATGGAATGAACCAATTTATTATCTAAGCAATCTGTGCCACCTGTCAGGAAGTGTGTAACTTCCTGAAACGCTGCCAAGTGACTGACCCAGAACCTTCAGCCTGTATTTGACCACAATTCAAATTGACCTAGAAACCTCCAGTATTATATAAACTGGGTCACAGTCTGAATACCCCAGGTCAAGGCAAGGTAATTTATCCAGAGTCTGGTGCAGGAATTGTTTGATGATGGACAGTGATGTAAACATTTTGTTTATTCTTCAGGGGGCACCAGGACCAATAGGACCTCAAGGACTACAGGGCAACCAGGGCTTCCCTGGACCAGAAGGACCATATGGGGAGAAGGGCAACAAGGGCGAACCCGGTGACCCTGGGCCCAGAGGGCAAAAGGGAGATAGGGTACATACAAGTTTTAATAATAACACATATTAGTACAGAGCACCAAAAAAAAATCCAGATATTCTAATAAAGTAAACCAATGTTTTCATAAATACATACCTAGGAGTTTTTCTTATTTTGTTATTAATGTGTAACTGCTCTACATTCATGCGGATGTATATATTTTATTTTGATAGGGCAAAATGGGTGTCCCAGGCTTCCCAGGATTGAATGGTATTCCTGTAAGTATTATTCTGATATTTTATTTAATATCATACTCTGAGGTGTATCATCTGTTATTCCCATCTCACAGTCTCGTATTGTGGAAGGAATCAAGGTAATTGTTTGACATGTTCATACAATCCACCCTGTTCATCATATATCATAGTAGACCTAAAGTGGCTAATGTTGGTAATGTCAACTCAAAACTGATATGTGTTGGTAATGCTAACCTGTTTGTTCACTTTTTGCAGGGCCTACAAGGTTTACCAGGTGCTATGGGCATGCCTGGTCTAGATGGCTGCAATGGAACACAAGTAAGAATATTTTAATTACTGCTATGTAAGGATTATATGTTTTCCTTTGCGAAACAAAAAGAAATCCTTCAGGATTTGACTTCGCACAATCATACATAATGCCATATGGTATCATTTCTATGTACACAAAATGTGGCATGAGTCAGGATGACACTGTTCATGATTGTTTTTTTTAAGCTACTTATCTATGAATAATAATCAAGTGTCAGAGTGAGCTATGAAATGAAAGCCTGCTGTGACCAATGCAATTCATTCCTAAGAAAAAAAGAAAGAATTTAATGGCCATAAGCAAACTTTTTATCATCCTCGAAAAAAAGTCTTTTGAAAAAAGCTTGCCCCTTCAACTTTGTATTTCAATCCCCATGTCTTAAGTATAGTACATTTTTGTGATTGTTTTTATTAAACTGTGATGTCTATTTCAGGGAGACGCAGGTGGCCCAGGCTTACCTGGAGTTGACGGTTCTAGAGGACCACCGGTAAGTCTGACATTAATCTGAAGATAGAAGTGCAGCAGACTTAACGTAACACTCAAGTAATACAAATGTTACGTGTCAGATAGGTGTGTTTGATGTGTACACAACATTAGATGGGCATTAGATACTGAAGGTGGAAATAGAGAGCCTTTAAAAACATTTACTCCTGGGTGATGACAGGTTTCAGTACAACAAATAAAGCACCATTTCTTTGTGTTTGTGGTCCTCAGGGTAAAACTGGCAAGAAAGGAGCCAAAGGTGAACCTGGCTTGGCACTTGGTGGCACAAAAGGAGTGAAGGTGGGTAGAGCCTGATGTTCTTGACTTAGAGAGAAGAGATGCTGCTGTAGTGAGCGACAGTTCGGGGCCCAGAAGTGGCCCTTGTGGCTTTGCACTGAGCAAGCTCGTTAAGATAAGAAAACAGCTGCTTAGTTACATAGTATTCCTACTGATCAATTAATTTTGAGTCTTCGGATAAAAGATCAAGTTCTATTCATAGTAACAAACTTCCTACTGCAAAAAAAATTTCAGCCTGGGAATTTAGAGGTTTGACAAATTTTGAGTTTGATGAAATAACATTAATTCTGGCCTTCAAAGACCAAATCATGTTTTTTGGTTTCCATAACATAACATTTGTGCCTTTTTACCTTACAGGGTGACGCTGGCAGACCAGGTCTTGACGGATTACCGGTGAGTTGGATTTGTATGATCACAACAAGTCTTAGTTTGTTTTTAATCGAATTAGAACTTTATGAAAAGAAAGAATGAACATCATTCAAGTGAAGAAATTTTCATTGTCTTGACGGATTACTGCGGAGTTGGATTTGTTCGATCACAACAAGTCTCATTTTGTTTTTAATCGAAATTAAGAAACTTACTAAAAGTATGAATGAACATCGTTCAAGTGAAGTAATTTTTGTTGTTTTGCTTTCAGGGTCCCCCTGGTTTAGATGGACTCCCCGGCAACAGAGGAACTGCAGGTGATCCTGGCTTACAGGTAGGCTTCTTCCAGAATGGAAATTTCCATACAGATTTCTCAGAAAGAGCTGGATACACATGCAATCCTAGAACTGAAGTATCTGTCCCTTTGTAGTGTTGGCTTTGTTAGGTAGTAGAAACCAATGTTGTAACCCTAATTTATGTTCCTTTATTTCGATATGTAGGGTGACAGAGGCGAAAAGGGAGACAAAGGCTTGAAAGTAAGTATGCAGTGACTTTTTCCCGAGGAAACAGCTTTCAATCGCACATGTAGTTTCAGTGCAGATGCAAATCATTCTTATATGTGAATGGTTTATTTGTAGTAAGACAACAAAAAGCATTTCACAGTCTGCCGACTGAATTACACACTCCTTAACATGTACTTAAAATCACAATTCTTAAGTTCACTGAAAATACTCAAAATTACAAACAACATTTAAGTTAACAATTTAAGTCCTCATACTACATTTATAACATACATGTACAGTAAATTCTTACACATAGATTTTCTGCCATATCATTTACAGTCAGCTCCTGGTAACAAGTTCTATAGATTCTTCGTTTTCATCTTGTATTTGTCAAGACTTCATAACATTTGTTCTGGTTTTGTTTCTTATTACTATATTAGGGATCTATGGGCCTTGGCTTTGCTGGACAAAAAGGAGAACGTGTAAGTAAATCTTGAGTGTTAAAACTGCTTGGTTTTATAGTGGTAAAATTTATGTTGTAAGTGTAGTGTTTCCCTTCTATTTGACATCTGTAATTAAAGAAAGATGCTGTGACCTTTTTATAGCAGGTTGTCTTTTTTTAGTACCCCAAATGAGAAAATAAAAGTTAGGTTAAAAGTTGAAGTCCTTCCCGCACCATGTGGTGCATAGGGTGGTGCCCATCTCTGGTTCAGTAGCCCTTGGGCCACACAGTTGTGCAATTACTACAGCAGGGGGCTAGTCCACTGGTGGTGTTGTGTGTCTAACTCCCATACTCTTTCCCAAATGCTGAGTGCTAGTAAGCAGAGAAAGCAGTATGCAAGGGAGCAGGAAAAATCTGACAGAATAAGTTGTACTGATTTTTTTTCTCCCCCTTCCTATCCCCAGGGTTCGCCAGGTAAACCCGGACCTCCCGGTCCCAGTTGGAACTGGAGAACAGAGACAACCTCCAGGGGGAGCTATTGGAGAGAAAGGACAGATGGGAGATATGGGAATCAGGGTAAGTCTACTAGCTGTTATGAGGGCCTGCATGGGGGTAGTGATTACAAAATTCAATGCCAATTATAAAGTACGTTAAGTTCTCAGAACTCATCATGAACAATTTTGCATTATGGGTAATATACTGATTACAATATACGATGATTTTGGGTGACTGCCTACAGTTTACAAAGACTAATGGTGCTCTAGGAAAAGGGGTATGTAGGCCCTCTGTAATGGTTGGGTACAAACCAGGCTTGGTAAGGCTGTAAACAGTTCATATCAACAATATACACAAATTGTACTCATGATTAGATAACATATGTTATTGCAAACTTTATGCTCCCAAGAAACTCATAGAAACTAATTTAGGACAAGAACTTCTCTCTGAAGTGAATAAGGAACAGTTCTGAAGGCTCAACTTTGATAGCTGCATGAGGAGGACCGATGATGATGATGTAGCCATAACAACAGTGAATGTTGTTTACTACCCACTCCTTCGTATGTGATCTAAACAGCCAAACATGTTTCAGTCTGGAATCCTTTGGGAATGGAGCAGGAATCTCTTTGTGCCAGTTTTGTGGATACCAGGACAGCTGGGTAGGCTGGCTTGTCTCACGAAACGTCATCTTAAGCTTAAACATGTATCACGTCACACTTACAAATATTTCCGTTGTTTATCCGACAGGGTCCCACGGGTCCGAAGGGTCTGCCTGGTAACCCTGGTCCCCCGGGACCACCAGGACAGGTGAGTCACTTTTGTACCAGATAAGTTTATGTCAAGTTTGTACAGATTTCTCTTATGATCTGTGTCAGTCAACAACTTTGCTGCCAAATGTACATTACACAGACCCACATTACCATTTAAGTTGTTGATGTTGATTTATCCTAAACTTACCTTCTACAACTGAATGCACAACACTTGTTAATTGATAGTCCATTGGGTACAATCTACATAAAGAAACTACCAACATGTAGTCATTCTTGAACTTGACTGGTTTTGATACATTGTGTCACGTTTATTCAAGGCAAAAGCGTAAAATTGAAAACATTGTCGAAGACAAAAATTGCTTTTCTGAATTTTCTTTAAGGAAGGAAGGCATGTCTTGAATTTTAATGTAAACTATGAGGCAGAATGCTATTCCTTATCTGAAACCACTGTTAGAAGTAGTCAGTGACCACACATGCGATTGACACCTGATGCTGCGTGGCCGCAGGCCTCCAATCAATGTTTGTCCTACCAGACTTGGCAAAACTTTCTTACCGCTGGGAGGTCTGCGATATCAAAGAATCCCGGGTCTTATAAAAGTTCTGCAGATTGTCATCTTCCCTCACCGTGCCAGGAAAGACTTGTGGCTGTACCAAATTGAAGCCACGGGTGTTCTAGCGTACGTTGTCTCCCTGCACAATGATATACCAATTCAAAACTTCAGAGTAGATTTTCATGATAAGTCAATCTCTCATGACATCACTGCCTTCCAGAATAAACATAAAACACACATTTCTTCAAGAAAAAAATTGACAATGCTGAAGCAGTGGTTATATTTTAAGAGGGGTCAAATGTTGACATTTGAGTAAATTCATAAAGACATGCATAGATGCACAAATACTAATCTTAATATGTATACCTAAAGACCAAGGAGATGATACAACTGTAATTCACTTTTTGTCTGGGCGATTTTCAAGTAGGAGGTTGTCAGCCAGTTTGGAATCTATGTGACATACAGTATGAAAATTTAATTTAAAGTCTTTATCTGTTGGTTTGTCTGGTAGGTGATTGGTGGAGGTGGAGGTACTGTCGGTTTACTCGGACCCAAGGGACAACCGGGAGATCCAGGATTGGCTGGACCACGGGTAAGTCTTACAGATACAGCTGCCTCAATGTTACATACCAGTACTTTTTCCATCTTGTGTGGTAAGATTGTAGAAAGCTTGCATGTCATTTGTAGCATTTCTAGCACATAAACATCTTTGACAGTCGTGAACATGTTAAAAAAAACTTAGGCATCTCCTGTGTGTCCTTGGTTGATCATTTGGAGTTTCAAAGATATGACAGAAAAGAAAATTGTTTGTTAATTTGCAAGGTCACAGTTACATGTTTTGTGAAGTTGTTTTGATGTTGTAATGTTTTTTTTCCACTTTCCTCAGGGTCCACCTGGACCAGCTGGTTCACCTGGCTTCCCAGGAGGCAAGGTATGTCATCATCATCATCATCATGGTTATCTGGTTGAAATATGTTAAGTGTATATGTCCAGGTGTAAATCACCTTGGAATACCTTGTCTTGCTCCAAAATGATGTAGGAAAACACATCAGACAAGGTGAACAGGTTGATGTTAAAACACAAGTTAATGTCTCCTTAATCATTACACAACATGGTAACGTTAATCCTAACACTACATACTTCTCTTATTTGTATCAAAGTTATGCCTGGATGGTGAAAGAAGACATTAACTCTGTTTCTACTCAACAGGGTTATCCTGGAGACCCCGGACGCCCCGGCTCACCCGGTGTTCCCGGACCTAAGGTGAGTCAGCGAGGCACCAGTTTTTGCTGTTTGTGATAACATGGAAACACTTCCATTTGGTATGAAGTACGAACAATTGACCAATGTAGCTGGGAAGAGAATTGGGCCTGATAACAGTACATGAAAGATATCCGTACTGGTGTCATTGATAATTTGTAAAACTTAACATTCTCACAGGAAAAAAGATGTTCTATCATACACTTACCGGTAGTGGTTCTATCATACACTTCCTGGTATTCTCAACTTACATCACAGCCAATGCAATTACACACATTGATCGATATTTTTCGTTGTGTAATTTACTTGACATGACTTAGGCATTATATACAAGACTTAGTAACACCATGTTATTGAGAAAACAACTACTGTAGTGAGTAGCAGTAAAGACAGGTTCTAACTCCTTGTTGATCTTTGCAGGGTAATCCAGGTGAAAATGGTTATCCCGGAGCACCTGGCCCACCTGGCAGCCCTGCACCTGGGGTAAGGGATATTGCTCACCTTCGGAAAAGTCTTATCCTTTTTGTTAAAGAGGTTCATCAGTCACATACATGTATAGACGTTCATCAATCAGTGACTGTTTTGAAAGGTAGCAAACACGTAACCCCAAATTATCGGCCCCAAATTGTATGTCTCGATCACGAAGTGACCTAGTGTCACGAGAACATGAGACTAGATCTTATCCGTTTTGTTTCAAGGCTAATCTTTTGTTGTTTGTTCTTAGTATTAACCACTTTTTCCTTGTTCTATGATCTACTTGTATGAAGTCACACATGAAAAAGTGACTCAGTAAAGCCTTGCTTTAATATTAATAATGATGGAATTATTAATGTATCGGTGTATTACCCTGTAGTTCACTGGAACAGCTGGCCCACCCGGCCCCCCTGGTCCACCTGGACTGCCCGGCCCTACAGGAGCTAAAGGTTACCCTGGAGACAATGGAGGAAGTGGGCCCAGAGGACCACAGGGAGACCCGGGACCCGGAGGTCTACCCCGGGGCGCCCGGATCAGCCGGTCCTGTCGGAGTGGGCAGGAAGGGAGAGCCTGGTGCTCCAGGTACAAAAGCAGCACAATTATTATATAACACGGCATGACAAAACATAACTTCAAAACTTAGACAATATTTTTTTGTCTGATTAATATAATGCAATGCAATGACATTGAGGATGTGAAAAATGGAAAGAGTTAATATGAATTTCCAAAGACGTTTGAGATCTCAACAAGTAGACAACTCTAACCAAACACACACAGAGGTCTCTTTCAACTTGTATGACAGACCAGCTCATTTGGTGGCGTAACACTTGATTACAGAAGGTAGAAGTTAAGGTTTTAGAAAGGTCACTACTTGACGAGTCCCTTGTGAATGGAATGTGGGGAAGACTAATAATTTGGTTCCTTGTTGCAGGTATACCCGGTAAGATGGGTCCCCAGGGTCCTGCAGGATTCCCTGGTGGCAAGGGAGAGCGTGGTATTCCCGGCCGCCCCGGAGCCAGCGTGGGTGTCATACCAGGCATGGACGGAGCCCCGGGAACCCCGGGTGGACCTGGACCCAAGGGTGACCCTGGCTTCCCCGGAGCACCAGGTGAGGAGGACTGGTGCACACTAAAGCCCAGTTTACATGGATTGTTAAAAAAAGCAATCATACTCTCCAGAAGTAGAACTAGAAAAGGCAATGAATTGGCAACTTGACAGCTGAGTTGGTACCATGTACCAGTCAACACTTGGCTTGGTTTGGTTTGGTTTATTACGATCAGTTCAGTTTTTGAAAATCGACTTGCATGTACATTCAACTATGTCACATGAACAATCTCCATTCATGGGTGACGGAAACACAGCAGTTATGTTTTGACCCCACCTCCCAAGATTAAGAGTATGTGAAGGTTATATTTTTGCTGTAACTTGGATCTCTTGTACTTGCAGGTGAACCTGGTAGAACAACTGGCATTGGCCCCATCCCTGGTCCCCAGGGTCCCCCAGGACCCCCTGGTATTCCCGGAGGCAATGGGGAACCCGGCAGGCCTGGAGGTCCCGGCTTCCCTGGTGCTAAAGGTGAGGTTATTTATCTTTTTAGAATCTGAAGATATTGGAAAACTTACCTTTGTTAGGTATATTTGATGCTGCAAGGATGACCATGTGAAGGCCTCCTCATCAGCCTTGTTGATGACTGTAAACGGTATCTAAGTCACGACATCATGTACTGAAGTATCCAGAAGACTAAGCATGAGACAAATGACAATGGATTGACCTGTACGGAGATATACACTGATTTGATCTTTCAACTGTAGTGTAGAGTTAATCTGCTGCTATTTTACAGCCAAGAACAGTTATGTATATATTTGATGCCATTGGATCATTTCAGAAGATGTTAAATTCTGCTTGTAAGACATGTGTAAATTGTTTGTGACAGAAGCTGTGTTGGCCCTTAGCTTTAAAAAAAAATGCTTCATTTGTAGGGTCTGGCTTCGAGTTTAACCTTGTGGTATTGTTTGTGGTATCAGGTGAGCGTGGAGGCAATTGTTTTGCCTGTCCTGGTGGGCAGAAGGGAGAGCGTGGTGACACAGGTGCACAGGGACCACCTGGCGGAGTCACGGCACCTGGACGTCCAGGCACACCTGGCCTGAAGGGAGAGCCTGGAACACCTGGTCTGCCTGGAACACCTGGAACACAAGGGCCTGAGGTATGGCAGCTTTCTATAAGTAAAATTGATATGGATTTGCCCAAAATAGTTACTCAAGCAACTGGATATAATTTTGGAAATGGTCAGACGGTTCAGGTAGCATCCACTACCTTTCAGCAGTGACACTAGAGAGTTGTCAGAAAAGCAGGTTTATAAGTACAGAGTAATGATTGATATGCAAGTAAGTGAAGATGAATTTTTTAATAGTCCGTACTTATAGTGTCACTGACAAAAGGTAGTGGATGCTACCTGAACCATCTGACCATTTTCAAAATCATATCCAGTCGCTTAAGTAACAGTTTTTGGCATATCTTATTACCTGGACGTCTTAACCTTCATCAACATATGGTGTAAATTTGTTTTGCATATCATAAGCAATATGTTGGTAGGAACAAATGGTTGTATATATACTATATAGTCTACTGTCCATATATCCTTAATGAAGAGAGGGGGTTGAACTTTAATGGCTGTTGCCAGTAGCATATCCAACAAAGCAGACATGCCTCTTGCTCTCTGAACTGTTTGATTTAGGATACAGATGTCCTGTTGTAAGTTTTGTATGCAGACATGTCACAGATGTGTTATTGGTGTTGTGCAGGGTCCCGGTGGTCCTCGCGGGCCTCCTGGGCCACCTGGTATGCCTGGAGATACCTTCGGAGGTGGCGCCATTCCTGGAGCTCCTGGTAGGTCGCAACCAACATTCAGTGTTGTACAGCTGTCAAACTGTTCTCCTTTTTCACACTCATAGGTCATTACTGTAGAATGGTAGTGCTTTCTGTGGAATACTTCTACATGATCATAATTTTTTTAATGTTCATTATGCAAACTTGTCATACCAAGTATCATTCTTAATTTTGCACTTCACTGGAGCCACATACTTGTTTTGTCTTCTGAGTACAGCTCACATTCTGACAAATTCTATCAGATCTACAAAACTCGTTCTTACAGAAAATTCAAGTTATTACTCCTACAACATTTTATTCTTGAGGAGGTTTGATGGTATCAAATTGATACCATGTACCTCTTCCATGATAAATACTATATTATCAATGTGTTTTTGAACCATTGTTCTTCGGATTGACCAACTGTGTGATGGCGTCCATAGGTGCCAAGGGAGAGCGTGGTGACCCAGGCTTCAACGGTGCCCCCGGTACCCCGGGCTTGGGCGGTGGAGGAGTTGGCCCCCCTGGACCACCTGGTATTCCTGGAGGACCTGGTCCTAAGGTGAGAAATAGACATAACTTCTAGTAATGTATTTTCAATTTGGTGATAATTATACTAGTTGCCATGAAAAATTTTATAATTTCTGTTTGCCAAATGTTCAGTAGGTCAGATTTTTTATTCAAGACTAAATGCAGATTTGATCCTTTCATAGACAGTTAAAGTATCAGGCCCATATGATTGTTAATTTTGTTTTTGTTAAAAGATGAAATCAGGCAAATTGTTGTGAAAAGTCTAGTTGTTTAGTTGCAGAGTTGGATGGCAGTTCCATGCTGCAGTGCTGTCCTTATATATTTGACAGACCAAATCTTTGTCATTGCGATGACGTGTACATGTTGTATTATGAGGTACAGTTCATCTAACAAAGGATGACGTGTTCTTACATATCTTCAATTAACACTGATGTATTAGAAAAACTACAAATGTCTCAAGAATAGAGAAGAAACGTGGAAAGGTTAGATATGATGGAACATAGCGTAGTCTTCCTAGTCCTTATTTGTAACTAATGCACTGTATTAGTCCCAATTAGGGCATGAATATGCAATAAACTTCATTGTCTTTATCTCAGGGTGAGCCCGGCATCCCTGGCAGACCTGGAGGCCCTGGCCGTGATGGAGGTCCCGGTTTAATGGGTCCACCTGGTCCATCACTCGGCGGCGGCCCTGGCTTCCCCGGAATGAAGGGTGAGCCAGGACAGCCTGGTCTTAATGGCCCTCCTGGTATCCCTGGAGCCAAGGGTGAACCTGGTAAGGAACTTCATGATCACCTGATTACATGGTGCCAGTCAATCATTCTGTCAACCTCATTGTTATTGCAAGTAGTTGCCTTCATCAAAAATCAAAATTACTAGTGTTAAATCTACTAGTGTTAATGCTAATGATTAGATATAGGTTAATTTACATCCAAGTTTGGCTCTGATGTCCATAATACAATAGTTTCAGTTTTTTAGTTTTGAATTTAAGTGTGGTCTCTCATTAACTTTGAATGCAACTTTGAATGGTATTGTGTAGATATATTGTACTGTTAAAGACTGTAAGCTTTGGTGTTGGCCTTTCTGTTGGCCACATCTTTTGGTGGCTTCAGCATTACTGAAACTTATACAAAAAGAGAACAACCTTCCCTGTTAGCTAAAGTTAGTCTTCACCACACGTTTGTTAAACATGCGCTAATATTATTTTTATCATTGTTCCTCAGGTGATGCTTTCATTGGACAAACCCGTCCCGGTGAGCCTGGCCCGCCCGGCCCTGTTGGTCTCCCCGGTGGCCCTGGCTTCCAGGGAGAGCCTGGCAACCCTGGTGCCCCCGGAAACCCTGGTGGTCCCGGATTTCCTGGACCTAAGGGAGAGCCTGGTATTCCTGGACGGCCTGGGAGCGCTATCCCTGGTCCTGTTGGTAAGTCTATGCCCTTTACTCCTTCTTTTGTCATCCTTAAATGAATTGAAGCATATATCTACTAGTGCAATGTGGCTTTGATAATGTATAAATGACATGTTTAAAGAATGTGTAGACAATAGTAACAGTATCTACCAAGATGAACAAAATACATGGCCCACTAGGTGATACATTGTCTAGTATTGGTTGTTGAAGGATTTTCCACCCTCCCTCTTCAGGTCTGACTGGACCACGAGGTGACCCTGGCCTGCCCGGCCTGCCTGGCCCGAGAGGAGACCCTGGTCTGCCTGGCCGCCCTGGAGGAGGAGGACTTCCTGGAGGCAAGGGAGAACCTGGAAACCCAGGTGAGTGTCTGGCCTGCTGGTTTGTACTCCCCAAGATGCTTTTACAGATGGCATCAGTAAGTTAAAAGCCTTACGATGGTACACCTCTCTCAGCTCTTAAAGAACAAAAAGGGTTACTTAGAGGGATTTGTAACTGCAATTTTCCAACACGAAGACATGGAATAAATTTGTGAAGTTCTTGTCCTTGTGAGAGACAGCATTAGTAAGTTTAAAGCCTTATGATGGTACACTACCCTCAGCTCTTTGAGAACAGAAGGGGGCTACATAGAGGGTTTTGTAACTGCAATTTTCTGACACTAAGACATGGAATACATTTTGAAGTTCTTGTCCTAGAGAGTCTGCTCATTTCTAACCTTGTTGTCATGTTTGTGTAGCTATTGGAGGTGGAGTTGGTCCTCAGGGTCTCCCCGGCCCACCCGGCCTGAACGGAGGGCCAGGTCCTCGTGGAGATGACGGCATTCCTGGTGGCCCAGGTCAGTCAGTTTATTTTATTTTATTCAATTTTCACAGCATCAGAAAGCTAATTCAAGGTAATAGGGTTGAAACAGTCAAACACCATCTTTTGTCACTAAGTCAGAAACCACCAATGCTTGAGACGAGCTTGCTGTACACAACATAGAGATAGATAGGTATTATATTTTATTCAACATGGATTTGTGAGCATCAGATAGCAAGCACAAATGTTCTTATAAGATCTTTTGCTCAAGAACATAAAACATACAAAATACAGGTTGAAATAATCATTAGATGGATAGTTGTCATCATGTCATGCTCAAGATTTACTTTGCATTTTGGTCAGTTAATTCATGGCTTTGCCAAACAAGTACAATTTAAGAGATGTGTATAAAGATTTGTATGGTAAATGCTTCATCAAAAACTGTCAACAGCTTTCATATACAGAGACTATCATTTAGAGAAAGTTTGTGTAAGTCTTAAGTAAGAATGTTCCAATCTTTCCCCTCCAGGTATTCCTGGTCCCCCTGGTAACATCGGCTTCCCTGGCCTGAAGGGAGAGCCTGGACGTCCTGGTTTGTTTGGTCGTAAGGGTGAGCCTGGTGACTCTGTGGGGAGTGCTGTGGGGCCGATGGGAGCACCTGGTGCTGTTGGTGCACCTGGCATCCCAGGTCAGGAAATGTTTGCGCTATGATTTCATTTTCAAGCATCAGCATTATACTAGGCATCATTTACATCATCATGTGTAAGGGGTAGATCAAGACCGACTTAGCTATGTAATGTAGAGGCCAAGAGAAGAAAGAACTGTAATAAAGAAACACAAACCAGTATGGGGTAGCAGAGAAGGATAGCCTGATGTGCCTTGAAAGGAGCCATGGGAGAAACTAGTCTGGTCATAGTTATCTTTTTGTTTTATTTCTTAGTGTTAAGCTGCTTAAAGTATAATTATCTGCACTCTTGCACCACGTATATGAAGCAGAGGAGACAAGGGAGTGAGCTTGGTAAAAGTTTACTGTTGTGAACGAAAGTTTGATCATAGTTACATGTTTGGCTTATTTCTTAGTGTTAAGATGCTTAGAATCTAATTGACTGTACTGTTGTGATCTTTACTCAGGTGGACCCGGCCTGAAGGGAGAGGCAGGTACCCCTGGTGCCCCCGGTCTCGGAGGGCGTCCAGGCTTCCCTGGAGAACCCGGCCTGCCCGGCCCACGTGGTTTCGATGGCCCACCTGGTCAACCTGGTCCTGGTGGTGGTGACGGTATCCCTGGTAACCCCGGAGGCCCAGGTCTGTAGGGGTTTGTTTGTACTGGATTGTGTGCACTTGTCACCAACAAAACGATTTTTGAGGAAAAACTTGACTCATCAGATTTGTAGTTTCCTTGATATCCTTTAATTTTGCGATGCTGTAACTTTTCTCATTTTCTAGTAGACGCTTTTATGTCAGCAGCAGCAGGTACATTCCTAAGGCATTGCCATAAGCTCTAGAGGAAATAATGTGTTCTCTTTTACCCAAGGAAGCTTTGGAAACGGAGATAATTGCATAATAATCAAGTATGTTGTAATGTACTTATTGCTGTCTCTAACTTCACTTATAACCAGGTCCAAAGGGTGACGCTGGTTTGCCTGGCTTGCCTGGTCCTGCTGGCCCACCGGGTCCACCCTCCGGCCTGTCCCTTCCCGGACCCCCTGGTGATCGAGGTTTTGATGGCAGACCTGGTGGACCCGGCACACCCGGACCTAAGGGTATGTACGGCATGCTGGAGGGGTATCAAACACAAGAGGAGGGAAATAAATTTGCAATTGGGAGGATAAGGTGAAAAAAATATTCCATATCAAGCAATCAAAACTGTATGGTATGGAGACAGCACTATGTTCTCACATAGTGTTATGGCTAAAATTATCGGAAAATAGGGGTGTAGAAATATAGGGTACCCTGCAGGTATTGATATGGGGGTCTATTCCTGCCACATTTTCTTTATTATTTTGGTTTTTTAAACTAACTCTAGCTGAACAGTTGTCCAAGGAGCCAACTGCAACCAGGTGAGGTAAGAAGTGTTCAGCATCGCCTTAAGCTTGGTGCAAATGCTTGGTTGACTTTTAGCTGTAATTCTGCTTATACTGCAATTATCTTAGAATTAAACTCAAAGGACTTCCTACACAGAAAATATCTTAATTTCTAACATTTTAAGCGCAATATTAACCATCTTTCGAATCATTGCAAGCAAAAAAAGGGTAAAAATATACATCTGTTTGTATAATGAGACATTTTCCACATTCTGAAGCTGACTACAGAGGGAGATCTGCAGTTCTATCACGAGTATTGTGAGACAGGTAAACAGGTGGTGAGGTGTAGTTAATTAAGTTGTAATAAAATTGGTGTGACCTGAAATTCTACAGGTGAGCGTGGAGACCCCGGCCTTCCCGGCGCCCCCGGTCTACCCGGCCCACCGGCCCCGGCTATCTCAGGCGTGAAGGGAGAGAGAGGAAACCCAGGTTTACCTGGTTTGCAGGGTCGTCCCGGCACCTCCGGTTGGTAGAATCCCTGTATTTACACCATGTCACTTTCTTATCGTCCTGATGTTGTAGGTCCGCCCGGTGTGCCTGGACTTCCAGGCCCCATGGGACCCCCTGGGCCAGCTTCTCAGGGGCCACAGTTTGCTCCCAAAGGCGAACGAGGAAATCCTGGGAGGCCCGGTTTACCCGGCCGCCCGGGTACTCCTGGTCAGTATGACGTGAATGGGCCGTTTGCAAGAAACACGCAACGCCTAGAGAAGCTTTAAAAAGTGCTTAAACCAAAAAAAGTACAAATGCCTTGCTACTAAAATGCATTGCCAATAAAAGTGCAAGTCTTCTAGTTGCTTAAAACACTAGCTAACTAGAAAAAACAACGGCAAATATATTACCAAAGAAAGCACGAGTCTCCTAAATGCCTCAAACAGCTGAAACTTACTTTGCTGCATTAAAAATACTGTGGATGCTGGTAAAAGTGCTAACTTTTAAAAATCCTACTAGTAACAGTTAATAGTATCATCAGGTTGGTAAATCACTGGGTACTAAGGTTCTTTGTACAGAATTACTCAAGTACTGGTTGTGCACAAAGAGCCATAATGCCCATTCATCTAGTGACCTTTTGATTATTCCTAATTTTTTAACATTTAAAATGCAAAATTAAAATCCCATGCTTTTGCAACTTTATCTTGCTTTCCTCAGAACTGAAAGAATGTCAAAGATGGTGTCTTTAAACTTTTTGCTGTGAAATTCTCCCCTAGGTCCTCCCGGTGGTTTGGGACCCCCTGGTGACATGGGTCGTCAGGGATCCCCTGGTCTGCCCGGTGCGCCTGGCGAGCCTGGCGCTGGAGTTGGAATTCCCGGACCTCCTGGACGACCAGGCGGCCCTGGCCCACGTGGTGACGACGGCTTCAACGGTGGCCCTGGTGGCAAGGGAGAGCGGGTAGGGGACAACTGTCTATTATTTGACTTGTCTGACTTTTTCCGAAAATAGTTTCATCAGGCTGGTAAAGTATAGGATATAAGGGTTTTCTTCTTCACAACCAAGTATCCGTACCTTGCTTATGTTTTGGTGTCTCTCATCAGACACCTTCTTCAGAGCTTCTGACTGGAGGTCTGCTTCTCACTGCTATATGCTGTTAATACTATATGCTTTGGATTTTCTAGGGTGATCCTGGTTTGCCTGGAAGACCTGGTGGCCCTGGACCTCCTGGTTTCCCTGGAGCTAAAGGTACGTCTTCAAACAAAATTATTTGTGGGAATTTACTGCATACCTTCTACAGTCATAGATAACATAAAGGCATGTATCAGCTCCTATGAAACATGATACAGTCATCAATGGGTTCTAAATGATGATTCCTGATAATAACAATAAGATAATCTCATACCTCTGCAAACCTGCTTTTCTGACAATTCTCCGGTGTCACTGACAGAAGGAAGTGGATGGTACCTGAAACATCTGGCCATTTCCAAAATCCTATCCATTTGTTGAGTAACTGTCTGTCAGCTCAATCTTATTTTATGGATGTCTAACCTTCACCGACGTCAATGTCATCTTTGTATATTATAGCAGGACAAGATGTAGGTGAGACAGACATGTTACACCTTTATCCTTGCCTGTGCAGGTGAAAGCGGAGCAGCAGTTGGACTACCCGGACCCTCTGGTCTGGACGGCCCCCCTGGTGAAAACGGCGGGCCTGGCTTCCCGGGTGCTAAGGGTGAACCAGGTAACCCTGGTCTGCCCGGCCCACCTGGCATACCTGGCAAGGATATGGGGTCTGGTATCCCTGGCCCACCTGGTCCCAGAGGTATGTTTTATTTAGTTTGGTTTATTTCAAATAAACAACTGACAGCCCACAGGCTTATTTGTGTGTTCCTATATTCATGCATAAGGAAATATAACTTTCTACAAGTTAAACAATGGTACTATCTTAAACTGACCAATACATTCAATTGTTAACTTATTAGTCAACATTTATGGTAATAAAAACTTAATTACATGTGGATCTACAAGATGTGAAAGGATGAATAGGGGAAGACATACCCTACATGTAGTGGTTGTGCTTGAATGATCTGGAATTGAAATGGTTTAGTTATTTTAATTTATGTTGTGCCTTTCGGATATAACTTGAAATGTAGTAAAGGTGCAGTCGTACATCAGATATTCATCAAGTTGTTCGTCCTGGTAACTTTTTTCCACAGGTTTTGACGGAGCTCCTGGCCCGAAGGGTGACCCTGGTTTCGGAGGCGGTCCTGGTCTGCCGGGTCCTGCCGGTCCTCCTGGTGGTAATGGCGGTCCTGGTCGAAAGGGAGACCCCGGATTCTCCGGAAGAAATGGACAACCTGGTCCTCCTGGACCCCCCGGTCCCCCTGGACCTCCAGGTAATGGGTCTTGTAGTACAGGTTATAAACAATGTGCTGTATATGTAGGCTAAATAGTACTGATTCAAGCACAAATGAAGGCTAATACTGATTCCAAACTGGTTTGACGACGACATCTTTCTCAAAGTTTTCTCAAACTCTTCATATATATGTTTGCACATGTGTACTTCCATTCGGGTTACCAGGAACTATTCCTCGAATACTTGTGTTACTGTGAGAACATCCCGGATGATGATGAAGAACATCCACCCAAGTAACATTAAGTCTTATAAAACACGAAACATGGGTGCACATGGGGACTTGGGTAATAAAATTCAAGTATACCCAGACTGACGTTTGCCGTGTTGTATGCAGGTGATGCTGCAGGCGGTCGCGTCGGCCCGCCCGGTCCTCCTGGTTTCCCCGGAGAGAGAGGACAGAACGGCTTGCCCGGTACTGACGGTCTTCCTGGGGGCCCTGGTCCCAAAGGTGACCCAGGTGAGTGTCAGTCAGCCACAGTATAGATTTAAAGAGTAATACATGTGGAGCGTCATGGGGCAATCTAATTGGCCCAGCAACAAATTGTATGTTTGTAATAGTAAACTACACATATATCAAATTTGTCACATAAAGGGTTTGTTTAAAATGTTAACTTCTAGTCATAATTGATTGGAAGGAAGTTACCATTTCATGTGCATTTTGTATAGTCACAGCCCCAGTTGTATCCACTGCCCTATGATAACAGAATACAGGCATTGTTTTGTGTCCATTTTGAATGTTGGTAAATGTTAGTGAAGTTAGCCTAAGACATAACCACTGCTGTCCCGTGATTCTGCAGGTTTCGGTGGCGGCGCCGGCCCACCTGGTCCACCTGGTCCTCCTGGCCCTGTGGTTGGCGGAGTGCCTGGACAGAAGGGAGACGCTGGCTTCCCTGGTCGCAACGGTCTGCCAGGTACGTACATGGACATCTTCCTGCTTCTGCACTCTAACTACTGTATGTGGAGAGAACGAATCCTTTGAGTCAACTGAAGTCCTTTGCATGAAAGTCACCCCTTAGTAAGACAGGCATGGTTTGTAGTACAACCTTTATTCAGACCAGTTTCACTCTCTTGTAGACACTCTCCCATCGTGGAAACGTCTAATTTTTTAAAATGAAAGTTACGCCATATTTTATATTCATCTGTTTTCTGTGTTTTTTCTCAGGACCCCAGGGTCCCCCTGGCCCGTCAGGCGGAGACGGTATCCCCGGACAGAAGGGAGAGAGGGGTGACTCTGGCCCAGCTGGAGCTCCTGGTGGGGTTTCCCGACCTGGCCCTGCTGGACTTCAGGGTCCCCCTGGTCCCAACGGCATCCCCGGCGGCCCTGGACCTAAGGGAGAGCCTGGCCTGCCTTCTACGAGCGGCGGTCCTGGTCCCAGAGGTGATCCTGGTGCCCCTGGCGGCCCTGGGCGACCTGGTCCTCCAGGTAAGGTGTTCATGAGATGCTAAGGTGTTAATGAGATGATAAAATGCATCTCATATCCTTGCAAAACAGCTGACCAAACTATTCAATTTGCTACTTTCATCCAGACACTTCCCCCAACAATGGCGCATAAGCCACATCGTCCCACTACATAAAGGTTGGCCTAATTATCAGGTTATTGTCTAAGATTTGACAGTTTTGTAAAAACTTAGCTTACCGTTTGTACTTTTAAAGAGGATTGCCACAGTTTTCTACCCTGACAGCATATCTTTTCCCGCCAATTATTGTCAGTCAAAGATAACTCATTTGTTCGTCAAGAGTGGCAAAATTCCGTCAATAGATGCTAGAAAACTGCAATATGATGAATTGAACGTGATCCTGTGCCTTCTCCCTGCAGGAAACCCTGGTGTGAATGGTCTGAAGGGAGAGCGTGGTGAGCCTGGCCGCTCCTTCGGTGGTGGTGTAGGACCCAGGGGAGACCCTGGTACACCTGGTCAGCCTGGAAACAGGGGTCTGCCTGGCTTACCTGGAGCTGCTGGTCCCCCGGGTAGGTTATGTTTCATGCAGAATCATCACCACATATACGTTGTATATACGTAGAATGAAGATATCTTTTTAGTTACTGACCTGTTCCAGACATGCCTTTTGTCCTCTGTAGCTTTGCTCTCATTAACACAATTCGGTTTCTAGTCACCATTACATGTACTGATACGTTGATTATTTTGGGGCAAGTTTTGGGGATTTCGTAGAAAGTATTATTTTAACCCATGTTATGAAGTGTTCTGTATGGTTGTCAATATAACACCTAAACTGTACCAGAATTTAGAAAAATTGCAGTTTGAAATATCAGCTGTACTTCTCAAGCTAATGTTATGTACAATGTATCATGACTGACTGTTATTGCTTGTTGCAGGTGGTTCTGGTGGCCCTGGACCTCAGGGTGATGATGGACAGCCCGGCTTCCCTGGAGGTGCCGGCCCCCCTGGCGACCCTGGACTGCAGGGGCTCGGCGGTGCTCCCGGCATGCCAGGTCAGCATTCTTTTCTTTACTCTCTCTTTTGACATTTTTTTATTGCATTTTGAAGTACTGGGCAGGGGGGGGGGGTACAAAGACATTTCGTAGAGAACAACAAAACATTCCAGGACGATACTTTAACATTTACTTGGGATCCGAATGACACAGAAACATAAATGAAATCAAGAAGAAACTGAGCAAAAATCAGATCACAAATTGTACCATTAAGATCAACAGAAACTTTGTACATAAAGAAATTAGATCATCTCTAGTCTTAAGTGTAGAAGAAGACAGTAATAATATCATTAGCAATGTCTAGGGAGACATTCTAAATCAAAGGGGACAAAATTTGCAAATAAGGGTTTCAAGGGTTCAAGAACCAAGTGATAGAACCTTGTTGCAGGCAGAGGCTTTGATGTTTTGCAAGTTTCGCACTTGTCTCACCTTCTGTGTGACTCCCACAGGTCCGCGAGGTCCGGATGGTCCACCTGGCCCTCCAGGCCGCTCGGCCGGAGCCGTACCAACTGGCCACCTCCTGACCAGACACAGCCAGACTACCCAGATCCCACAGTGTCCAGAGGGCATGCCCAAACTGTGGGACGGATACAGCTTGTTGTATTTGGAAGGCAACGAAAGGTCACATGGACAAGATCTAGGTAGGTCAAATTTTCTTGAAGTTATGAATTTTGGACATTTCCTAGTCACTGATGATTGTGATGATCGCATTTTGTAGCCTTGACTCAATATCTTGCTTGACTCAATGCCTTGCTTGACTCAATGCCTGTTCAGCAAGGTAGTTGGTTAAGTTGATCTTGTCTTTGATCCCTCAGTGCTCATTGTTTTCTTTCTTGCCCCTCCAAGGTCTGCCTGGTTCCTGTCTGCCCAGATTTAGCACAATGCCGTTCATTTTCTGTAACATCAACAACGTCTGTAACTTCGCCGGCAGAAACGACAAGAGTTACTGGCTGTCTACATCAGCACCCATCCCCATGATGCCTGTCAGGTCAGTTCTGGGAACAGACTGGAGTTAACAAAATAGTGAACATTGTGATAATTGAACTGTGTCAACTTCATATTGTGTCTCTTAATAGGATAGTGAACTAGTGTGTGGATACATTTGCCCTACCAATTGCTGATGCTAGCATGATTGTTGATATTTGTAGGTATAGTAATAAAATTGAGTTCAACTGTTTCCAAAAAACATAGACAAGGCTTATCAAATTTCGACAAGGCTTCTTTTGAGGACCTAGTTGCATTATAGCTGTTGTGACCTTTCAGTTTTTCTGGTAAACATTGTTTGCCCAAAGTGCAGCCACATCTAACTTAAGGCTTTTCTCTTGCAAGATTGTAAAGTCTTTTAAGATGATGGCTTCACACTTAAAGTCAGCAGTGACACAAGTGTTGAACATGAAGTGTGGTTCTTGCTCCACAGAGATGATGCCATCAGACCCTACATCAGTAGGTGTTCTGTGTGCGAGGCCCCGTCCTCTGCCATGGCCGTGCACAGTCAGGAGCTTGTCATCCCAGAGTGCCCGCGTGGATGGAGAGGCCTGTGGATCGGCTACTCCTTCCTGATGGTAAGCTCACAGAGTTCATTGTTAAACATGTGTATGTATAGGTTTATGTATTCCATTGAACCTATTTTAAAATTATTTACACCAAAATTATGTACTGATGCAGATAGTATCGGCATTCGGTTATATAATTATGAACATCTGCACTAGCATTTATACAAAATGAAAGACATGAAAAGAAGTATCATAGTTTCTTCATATTAAATTTCTTGCTACAAGCACTTCAATGGTGTTAAGTCATTGATTGACATAACTTTGAAGGACATTACAATACTGTTTGTGCTGTTGGTGTTGCGAGACAAAACCTTTTGAAAACACATCTGATGTTTGTTTAGTTAGTGTTATAAGGTTTGTTTGTTTGTTTGTTTGAGCCATTCTTTACTCATGCAAGTTTGTTGTAGATTTTGGTGCAGTCAGTGTTAAAAAACACAAAAAAAATGTTGGAAGCACATCTGATGTTTTTTGGTTGGTTGGTGTTTTTTTATGCACATGTGGTGACGGTTGTGTTCCTTTCCCTCCCCAGCACACCGCGGCAGGAGCGGAAGGTGGCGGACAGTCACTCTCGTCTCCTGGCAGCTGTCTGGAGGACTTCCGCGCCACTCCCTTCATCGAGTGCAACGGTGCCCGCGGAACGTGTCACTACTTCGCCAACAAATTTAGCTTCTGGTTGTCCACTATATCACAGAACGAACAATTCGCCGACCCAGTACCAGAGACACTGAAAGCAGGACAGTTACGAACCAGAGTTAGCAGATGCCAGGTGTGCATCAAGAACGTGTAACCGTGGGAGAACTTGTGTATTGGAACTTTATTTTTAACAAAGAGTTGACAAGATTTCAAATGGTGCTTTTGTACAGTGGGTAAGCTCGTACCAATGATTTTAACTATTGCATCCCCAAGTCGCCTCAAGTTTTTTTTATAAGGATCAGGATAGATAAAACGTGTAGGACAATGTAGTAGATAATGATGATGTAACATTAATTTTAGTGCAGCATTTTAGGGTAGTCATATTTTTGCAGAAATTAGCAAGCTGAGGATATATATGTAAGCTCAGTTCACTTTCATGTTTATAACGGATTATGCATTGTGCAAAAGCAGCTGAGAATCTTTGGTTGAAAAGATAACAGTTGCTTCGATATGGGACTTTGCTTTTTGGCAGTATTTTTAGCACTCGCTTGTCTAGGGAATGTAAATGGTTTAAGAAAAAGGCAGTTGTGCCATAGAAAATGGGTAAAATTATACCTACTTAATGGGAAGCCGTTATAGTTATGATTAACTATCCATATGTATGGTGCTTACTAATTCTGTATAAAAATTGCCCTAAAGCAAGAGATTTTGTACAAGCTGACGTTATGTAAAATGTGTGCAGAACTGTGGCAGTCTACCCTGTCCTATGGTGCTATACAATATGTCCCGCCAACTTTCTCAGGATCAGTATATCTAGACACATCTTTTGGACTTCTTTCTTCGTGCTCTCTCTTCTGAAAAAAAAGTTATGATAAAAAAAGCAAGGTGCCAAAGTTTACAATAAAACATTCACAGATAGTCACTTCTTAAATGTTTCATTTGTTCGTATTTTTATACAACAGTCATCTATATTTATATTGTAGCATTATGAGATAACGTTCCATCGTTGTAACCAAGGCTGATGTGTATAATTTACACGATGCGTATCCAGGCTTTCTGTGCCTATTTTTCAAGGCTAGGTGCATGCAAGAAATTCGTCTAGATATCTACAATTGTTCGATGTCCTTATTTTTACAAGCTCTAATCATGTACCAGTACAATCAACTTAGACTAGGATAGGATTTTTATCTCCCACTAATGATATCCTTTGTTAGACTTCCCCGTACTTGAACCCTACCGACCTTAACTGAAGATCAGCTGTAAGTCTGGCCCGTCCTGTGGGTGTTGTGGGCCGCTCCATAGCCATTCCATACGTCTGGCCCACCACAGCCCAGGATCTGTAGATGGTCTGGAGTTAACGTCCATGGGAGGGTGTCTGTAGTTAAAACCCCTCCAACATGTTACACTGTGGAACATTGTTGATGACCAGAGTTTATTGTGTCAGCCCTGTTGTAATAATTTGATTGCATTATCAATAAATCACAATCTTTGTGTAGCTTCTGACTGTGGTGTGCCTTATTCTAAACTAATGTCCCCTTTCACTGTGCAACTATTCAGAAAGAACTACATGTATGCAACTGGCCTGTATTTATCTTCCTAAAAATGCCATAAACCTTTCTTCTATTTGGTTCTTGAAAAAACACATTTATCACTCCAACTGGAAATATCAAAAGTCGTTTTTATTAAGACGCATTCTGGGATTTTTCACAAAAAGTTGAAATACAAGAATTCAACCAGCCTGATGAACATGTACTTTTGTTTATGAGCATTGTGTAATCTAAAGGTATCTAATAATAGTCCCTGATAGAACATAATGCATACATCATGTAGTGTTATAAATATACTATCTTAATAGTTAATGACACTGGAATAGGGATGACTTGTATATGTATACAGCAGTCTACTTGTATACACACACATACTGAAGTACATAATATCCAACTAAGGAAAGTTATACATGGCGCCAGTGGTCTGGCAGGTCCTTTTTTACTACACCCCCTCCCCCCCAATCATCAGTTATGACTTACAAATACTAGTAGTATACATTGAAGTCACCAAGGGTAGCGCAGTCCTACATTCTAAGTTCTGTCTCTTTGATTTCTGGTAACATCAAAAGAAATTTTAGGACACTTCAAAATGACTTCCAAACAAGTGCAGGTACATGTACATGTATCTTCTTTTTTGTATCAGATCTTCTTCCTCCATACATACAAACTGGTGCTAATACCACATGCTGCTCTGTCCGGATCCCCCTTGTTTAAACCCTCTGGATCCCCCAAAGTTGCCCCCAGTGCCGGCCAGGCCCAGCTGGTTCGGTCCCGTGGAGCTGCCTGCTGTATTGGACACTGAGCCGTCCCCACGCAGCACAGAGATGCACTTCCAGTTGTCCAGGTAGTTCGCTGAAGGTTGCAAAGACAGTCAGTATTAACAACTATTGGTCATCAGTGTATACACTATTCCCGCAGTGTTTTATTCCCAGTGCATTGTTACCACACATCCTTGGTCAAGATATTTTGCCCAAGGGAATGGAAAGGTGGTACCCTTAAAGGGTAAAGGGGTGAAAATTGCTGTCTCTGATAGTTCGCTGAAGGTTGAAAAGACAGAGGGCATTAAAGACTCAAGGTCATTAGTATATACACTCTGACAGTAAAGCACCCTGTACTTCACCCTAAGTGTGTAAATCCCAATGTACACAATGCTGTTTGCCATAAGTCTCAGTGCTACTGTTACTTTTGTCAGAGGGATTGGAAAGACAGTATGGGGTGAAATTGGCATTTTTGATTGCCTTGTTGAAACGAACCTCACTACATTCACTTGTGTGCACCAAGGCTTTTCTGACTTGATTTTTCAGTGCAGCATTTTTTTTAATTTGTGAACCAACTAATTAATTTTTGTGGCCTAGTGTTCCATACATGTACATCTTTGCCATACAGACTACCGCTACTAACCTTTCCAGAGCCGCACACACCCGTCATCCCCTGATGATGCCAGGACGGTTCCTGTGATATTCCAGCTCACACGCCACACCTACACAGCAAGACCGGTATTTTTAACTCAACAGTACAACTGGCAATCTCTCTCATCAAAAATATATTAAACCTGTTCATCCAACATACCATTTGCATAAATCTGGACAGGGTTTGTTTCTTGTCACTATTCCTTACCTGAGAGCTGTGTTCATCAAACTGTGCAGCCTGTCTGATTTCAAACTTGCTCATTCCCCCTGGGTTTGCACCAGCATTGGGCTCCTTCCTGCACAGACATCATATTGTTAAACTACTGTACTATATATACACATGTACATGTCAATATAGTCGAATGACATCTGTCTTGGCTGCAATGGCAAAATGTATTTTAAAAAGGTTGCAGACCCCATAGCCCCTATAGACACACACACTCACACACACATATGTACACAATCATGTACCTTCCAACGATTACATGTTGGTTTAGAAAAAAGACAGTAGTAAGTATTGACACTGAGCGATTCTTTGCCCTGACCTGAGACATCTGAGGGTGATGATGCGGACATCCTTGGTGGCGATGGCCAGGAGGTGGTACGACCGGCCCAGGTTTGGTGCGAAGGAAATGTGGTGAACAGCATCAGTTATCGCCATCAATGTTTCCACCTTCTGCCACTTCCTGTAATGTAAGATGGAAATTATTAAAATCTAAGTTTAAAGGTCTAATAGCCTATGTCGGGGCTACACCGCTACATAACAGAATTAAGTGAGGAAATTTGCCTTTCCCAAGGGCATGACTTTAGGTCCATTCAAGCCCATTCTACATCCTGAGTTCACATGTACAAATGTACCTCACTAGCTGTTTAAAATGGGGCCACGTAGATGAGACATGTAGATTGTGGGGTCATGTGGCGTAACGGCAGAGCATTCGGCTAAGAACCAAAAGGTCCCAAGTTAGAATCATGCCATGTCAAAGGCACTTTACACAACCTTCCTCACTTCGCTCAGGTGTTAATGAGTATGCCAGAATGATCATTATGATGATCATGGGCATTAAAAGAAAAACCAAAAAAGATAGATGACACTGACCTGATGTTATCATTGTACTCGTATATCTGAACCTTTCCTCCAGCTGAAGGGTTGGTGTCATCACTGCCGACTGCCAACATGGGCAGGTGAAGTCTGCAACATTTCGGAAAAGTAAATCATTAACATCTTGTGCCATACGTGTATGTAATTTGTGCATTGTACACTAATATTCACATGCTTAGAACAATATATTTTAACAAACATGACAACAACAAAAAATAAACTACTGGTTTAAAGATGGTGAAGCCTTGTTTTACCTTGAAGGGTTCCATGACAGACAACTGCAGCTCATTTTGGTGTTGATCTCATGCTACAGAGGAAAACAAAACACTGATATTCAGTCAAAATCCGTGTCATTTGATTGTTTTATGACACTGACCACTTCAAATTTCAAAGGCACACACTACATGTACGTAGAATTTCAGCTTTGATTGATTAATTGAAATTTTGGACAGTTAATGGCCCATCTAGAGAATCCTGGGACATTTCTAACAACCTTTATCAATGAAAACTATTAGATCAAACTTTAAACCAAAAATGAATGCAGGGGAGGTTATACAAAAATAACCTCTGCAGGACTGTATTGTCACCTGCCATTCTATTGTCCAATTATCACACAGCCACCCCTCATCATTCATCTGTCTGTATAACCGCCCTTTGGCATAACACACTAGCTTCACAGACACACAGCGTGGCGACAGCTGGCTACATTACACCGAACGACTTGTTACACTTAACCTTTGAACATCTAACTCTAAACACTGTTCAAACTATCTAATGATTCATGGCCCTAATGAGTTTACCTGCAGAGACCACTGACTCAGGTTCATTACATCTGGAGCTTCATAGATCCGCACCACTCCATCTGCAGAACAGGTCGCCTACAGGAATGAAAAAAAAATGTTACAAGAAAGATTGATGTTTTTGAAGTTTATGAAACTTCTGATCCCTGGTTTTAAGTTTTTTTGTGGTACTACATTGTGTCCGTTATACTTCCAAAAAAACTCAAATAAAGGGGATTATAAAAAATAAGAAAGTTTTCTCCAGTAACCATCATTCCACAGATAAAAATCATTCTATCATATATATGATATTAACCATACTAATATGAATGTATGTAAGTGTACTCACTAGCTGTAGCCCCATGTGTTTAGGTGCAAACTTGACATCAGTCACCGACGTTCTACTGTCCACCAGGTTAGCTCTCTTTACCTGCACGGTACAGAACAAGTGATTGTTTTGAATGATTATAAACCATTATACACAGATATAAATGGGAATACTAGTAGTATAGCAAGTGACAAAAATCTCTGAACTTTAGGAGGTGTAAGAGAAGTGTCAGTCAAATGACCTTAAGTTATTATGATTATCTTGAAATGACTTACGTGGAAGAAGTAGATGTTTAATATACATCCACACTCATGTCTGTATGTTTGTATGTACATACATGTATGTCTATGAATGTTTGTTACTGTCTTACCCAATGACTCTGTCCTCTTTGTGTGGATGCCAGTGATTCGCCAACTGTAGGGAAAAATTTGTAATGATAAAATGTGGTGCTAGCAGCAACACGTATGAACATGGGAGACTTGTAATCACACTTGTACAGTAATATAGAAGCCATTCTAACCAGCTTTTTCAATGCCACAACATCTTCTGAGACAACCTAGGACCTTATCAACAATCCGTCAATTTGTAGGAGTTCCAAACAAACGCCACCGTTTCTGGATTCCTACAAGAAAAATGGCAGCAATGGTAGGATGACGTAATCTAAGGTCCAGAATGCTTTGCGAATAAGCTTTTTACATGCCCACCACCTAGTAGTAGTGATTTGCAAAGAAAATACTGCATAAAGTAAATGCCCTGATAAGGTTGATACTATGGGGTATAATTCCTGAGAAAATGTTGGAGAGACTTACCGACTTCCTCCCACACTGCAGCTGTGCGATCAAAGGAGCATGACGCCAGGACCTGTCCAAACTCAGGGTGTGCCCAGGTCACCTTCCACACCGAGCCACTGTGGGTCTAACAGCGAGGAACAAAGTATGACAATGGCCTTGTAAGTGTTTGGTTTGCTACAAGAACTACTAGTAGTATGTGCCAGTGCATGTCTACCTGTATGCGTGTATAGCTTAGTCATCATCTTATAAGCTTATGGACACCATATAAATCTTCAATTATTTCATTCATTGTTATTTGGCTGAGGCACCGGGCTCATATAAAAAGTCCAACAAGTATACATGCAAATGTATTAAATTATTTTTTATATGGCATGAAAAAACAAAATGTGGTGATATCCACATATCACGGTACCTTCCAGCTTGATGTACATTGCCAATCTCCGTCGTCTGTCAGATCCCAGACCTACAAGAAATGCATAAGTTGTAAAACAACAATTAAACATACTAGATTTAACTTAAAAGCATCATGAACTGATGACCATAAACAAAGTACCCCCCCTCCCCAAGTACTAGTACCTTTATGGTCTGGTCGCTTGAGCAAGTGGCCATCCTTCGGCCGTGGAAATCGTACGAGACATCGTGGATCAGGTCCTTGTGTTCCGCAGAAATACTGCGAGCGACAAACATGTCTCAAACGCGCCCGAATCACCGCTGTTCAATGCTTTCGGTGCTGTTTTTACGCTAAACGAACGCGCCAAAATGCAGGATATATCACGTAGTTCTCAGAGTAGCGCATGACGGGAAGATAGGAGTACACCATTACCTGTAAAGGGGTGGCGTTGAAATAAGACCTTTTTTTACTGTTCAAAACAAAGAGTCCGCAAACCAAGAGTATAGACAAGTAGAATGAAAACTAGTGTAACATATATTTAGCAATTAACATTTATAGTTTTTTGAAGAGTTTGTAGGAGGAATTGTTTTACAAATTCTATTGGTTACACCTGGTTATAATAGGCTGATCCTGGTTAGTTATTGGGTTAAGAAGATGGCGGCTCACCGTGGAGTGGAAACGTGTTTTATCTCAGCGGCCTGTAACCGCTCTCCCTTCAGCCTGTCGTGGGGAAGGAACGGGCTGATCCTGTACGGGAGCGGCAACCTGGTGGCCGTGTATCAACCCAAGGTAGTGTCACTGGGGAGTTCTCTCGGACAGAGAAACTAGCGATGTGCACACACCGGTCCCAACAACTTTACCTGCACTTCCGGTCTTGTGCATTTATACTGTACAAAACACATAAATAGAGACGCACTTTGATATATTTCTGGTGATGGTGATCTCTTTCACTTATACTGTTTAATAATTATATCAACATTTCGATTGAGTTTTTTTGTAAAAACTGGCACTGGCAATCTGGTTCATGAGACATTCTACATTGCTACTATTGACAAGTGTTTTTCAACTGAAAAGTTTAACATTGTTACTTTCAGTCATTGCAACATTTATAGGTACAAAATTAGCCTCATTATCACACTGCATAAGAAACATTTCCTATATTATATATGGTTGCTTTTCTAACATTATGGCACAGACGAGGTTGATCATAAATTAAACGTTAGAATCAAGTAATGTTTGATGTAACTAGAACATCCATGTGGACTTGTGTATCCTTTGATTCCCTAGAATGGTGAGGAGCCAGGGTCAGTTCTGCAGACCCTCAGTCAGCACACAGCCAAAGTCACCTGTGTCAGGTGGATCCCCAAGAGAAATGGAGGTGGGTGCTTACTTTTTTGGCAACACCTCAGGGATGGTGCCTTTTACTGTGGTATTACAAAAAAAACATATATCACAGCTGGCCTGTCAGTATTTTGAGATGCCCACTCATTCTTCACAAAGCTTCAAGTTTGTAGCCTGGAGTCCAGCCTTGTTAGTCTACTCCCCAAGACCCAGGGAGCAAACAGACTATTAGAAACGTCTGGACTCCAGGCTACCGACTTTCAAGATTTCTATTGAAGAATGCAGCATTGGGTTTAGCATCAATTAAATGTTACAGAAAGTGATCTATTTGGTAACTTTTAAGGTTTTGTGTTGTAGAGCCTTCTGATGAGTTTGTTGTTGGATCAGCTGACAAGACAGCATCACTCTGGAGAAGACAAGACTCAAAGGTAGGTCAACCTTCAGGGTCCAGTTCCTCATTGAAATTTCTTTTTTCAGACTAAAATAAGATACAAAGTGTTGCATGGTGTGTATTTGCTCTGGCTATACATATATTATCAATGTATGCCTTTTTCTTTTTACTCAGTATCAGTTTGTCACTTAGTGTAATGACTACTAATGAGAGATTGTTCTTGTTCCTATAGTTTGAGGTTGTGTCTGTGTTGAGAGGACACAGTGCAGCTGTAACCATTGCTGAAGCCATGTATGTACCGACATCTAAGAAGGACGTGTTCTCCACACTGCTGGTGACCTCGTCTGTGGACTCAACAGTCAGAATATGGGAGAGAAGACAAGAGACTGGTACATCTACAGTAATAACCATATTTATGTATCTGGAGGTCAATTTTGAACTGTTTGTGTTATGATATGGAGAGCTAAAGAACGTCAGTTTTAATGCTGTCTAACTTGGAGAAATGCATATATCACACTTAACAAAGCAGAGCTCAAAGATGACTCCTATGTTTTATTTGGTGCAAACAAGGAGGCTAAATTCAAGTATACAAGTATTTAACCTCTTTGGTGCAAATAATGCCTTGTGATACTTGGGTCTTTCTAGATAGCCAACTGATTATCTGTACAATAGTTCACTAATGAATCAATTAAGGATACTTAATCATTCTAAAGAAATTTTGAAAAATGCATGTTGAACTGTGTCTTCTTGATTTTCCATGTTGTATTAGATGAGGTGACCTGTGTGCAGACTGTGAGTTGTGGGAACAGTTTTGCCCTGGACCTTGCCCTGTCCACCCTCCCCGCCACGTCTGTACCTGTCCTGGCCTGCGGATGGGACGATGACCGAGTCCACCTCTGGGTCAGACAGGGGGAGGACTTCCGAGAAGTAGCCACCCTTAAGGGACACGAAGACTGGGTGCGGGGAGTG